GGTCTAGTATGATAGTATAGGTCTAGTATGATAGTATAGGTCTAGTAGGGGTGTAAATCAGCAGCTTTACCACGATACGATATTATATTGATTTGTTTGAATGACGATACGATTTTTCTCGATATCACAAAGCCTGTCACGATACGATTTCGATTCTCTTCGATTCACAAGTCTGCGATCGATATATCGGGATATCAAATACCCTTTTCATTTACATATAAATTTACAAAAACAATTCAAATATGATTTAACCATTTTATTTCTGTTATTATAGGCAACAGGCATTTAAATAAATAAAAAAAAAAACAACATTTTTTCTTAATTAATGAAAAAATAAAAATAAATGACCTGTTCAGTATAGTCTCACATTTCTCATGTTTAAGTGCATTTTTTAAACCAGTTAGCTTAAAAGTGTCCTGATTATCTTTCAGTTATAAAGAAACAAAAATAGATATTGAGCTTAATAACATGACTATCAATGTCGTGTTTCTTCTTCAGGTGAACGGACAAATTTGTTGTTTCCCGAGTATTTTAACTCAAACTGGCACCTGTTGATACGACATGAGTTCTGTCTGTTGAGTCGTCCTTCTGTAGGAATCTAAAATATTTCCACAGCGTTGATTAGAGCGCAGCCGCGCACGGAAACGGTGACACAGACGTGGCTTGGGAATTTCAAAATAAAAGCGTATTCTAAAGATGACGATACAAATCGATGTTTTTGTTTTGCCACGATATAATTTAATCAGTAATCATTTAATCAATATATCGATGTAAATCAATGTATTGTTACGCCCCTAAGGTCTAGTATTAATAGTTTAGTATTATAGTATAGGTGTAATATTAGAGGGCTAGTATTATAGTACAAGTCTACTATTATAGTACAAGTCTAGTATTGTAGTATATTTATTAAGTATATGTATTGCCTGCCAATTAAGGCAGGTAGCTAAGCTGAAGCCGGTGTTGTACAGACCCAGTCTTGAGAAACAAGTCCATGCCTTTATCACGACCCGTTGGGACTACTGTAATGCACTCTATGATGGGATCAGCCAGGCCTCCATCTCATCCAGAACACTGCTGCTCTGCTCTTAACTGGAACTTGTAGGTTTGAGCATATTAAACCAGTTCTGTCCTCCCTTCACTGGCTCCCTGTGCGTACCAGAATAGATTTTTAATTCTTCTGTTGACCTATAAGTGCTTAAATAGCCTCGCACCCCTTATCTCTCCAAGCTACTGGAACCATACCTTCCCTCTTGGGCTCTGAGATCATCCGATCAGCTGCTTTTGGCTGTTCCAAAAAACAAGACTGAAGCTCAGAGGAGGTCGGGCTTTTTCAGTCATGGGCCCCAAACTCTGGAACAACCTGCCCCCCCAACATTAGACAGACCACCTCCCTTCCTGTGTTCAAATCTCTGCTAAAAACATCCGTTTTCTCTGGCATTTGACACAGTGCGAGTTGAGTTAGCATTTTTTGTTCTGTGTTCCGATGTTTTTAATGCTTTTAATTAATATTATCATTATTGTGTGTAGTTTTTTCCATTGATTTTACTCTCACTGATGTTATTGTTAAGCACTTTGATAACAGTTTCTATTTTAAATGTGCTCTATAAATAAAGTTGACTTGACTATCTAGAATTATAGCACAGGTCTAGTAATAATGTATAGGTCCAGTATTAGGGATCTAGTATTATAATACAGGTCTAGTATTAGCGGTCTAGAATTAAAGTACAGGTCTAGCATTAGAAGTCTAGTATTACTGTGTAGATCTAGTATTATAGTATAGGTATGGTGGTGCTAAATATATTATTGTTGTTTACAACGATCTTGGTCATGTATCAAATTTGCCTGCCTACAGATCAGTTGGCTACTTTATATCACAAAAGATATAAGTAGTTTAGGCCCCGACAAGTGTTGGGGGTTTGTCATTTAGGCTTCAATCCGAACATACGAGCAGCATAACAGCTCTTCACAAACATGTTCTTTCTCACATTACAAACAGGTCCATCACGAACCAACAAAAACTCTTAAAGCTGCGCAACAGTTTAATTTTCAAAATGTAACATAACTTGTCCACCATAAACACCACTGCTTGTAGCTCCCAAACGATCCCACAATCCATTGCGCGCCGTGTTCAGTAGGCGGCGCTAAACAAAGATGGCGGTACCCGAGAACGGGCTCATTAAATGTTTATTGAACGTTGCTAAAGTGTTAATTGAACGAATTATCTAAAGAGTCCTTACGAATATCAAAACATAACATAACCCGTCCTTTATGTTAAGTATTAGTTGGAAAGTTGTTGAACTCCAAATAGCAGGAATATTTAGAGAAGTTCTTGTCGACCCACCTCTCTTCGACTTCTCTGCCTCCGACACCGTCTCGAAGCCGAAATGTGTGTTTCTGTCCTCCGCTGCTTCGCTGAAATTACGGCCAGGCGACGTTCTCCAACAGCAGCCCGAGCGAAATGAAACATTAGATAAGGTTGAGATGGCATTTCTTTTTGAAAGACGAGTCAACTGACGGGCCAAAGATCTCATGGACGCGGCCATCTGGAGTGCGTGCGCAGCTCAGAGCCTCTTCCTCTGATAAGCAGCTGTGACGCAACTACAGGCTGCTGCTGCCCTCTAGAGGTCATATGTAGAGTTGCACAGGGCAAGCTAAACGCTAAAGGGATAAAAACAATTTGAGTTTATAGTTTAAAATAACATTTATAGAAAAAAAAGCTGAATAAATGTAATTATTATTTAAAAAAATAAATGTGTGACAAGTCATCAACTTATTAGGTCTACATAATGAAGAATGGACACCAAATTAATTAGTTTATTTATTGTTTCTTTAGTTATATCTATATATGTGGAATAGTTCTAATAAAGTTATTTAGTAAAATTTTCTTTACATAAAATCCATTTTTGCATATATTTATAGAACTTGTGATTCAGTGTGTTTGTCTGTGTAATTTTTCGAAGCAATTTCAGAGGATTTTTGAGAGTACAGGCAGATTATTTTTGTTTTATTTGAACACTAAACAAAGAGTCAAAATCATTTTTGGTAATTCATCCAAATAGTACATTTTAGAACTGCTATTTTTATTTTCCAACAAGAAAGAATGTAACAAATACAAAACTACCGTAGTAGAAAAAAAGACAAGTAACAATGATGATATTATTTTTGATTCATTGACGTTTAATTATAGAGTATTAACTGTTAATAGAGTTTGTGAGTTCTTGGTGTGTGTGCTCACTTGCTGTTTCAACCACTGCATTAGGGAGCAGCTGAAAAATAACAACAACTGTAACAATAAAAGTATATTGAGCATTTATAAAACTGCACAATATGTTCAAAACTACAAAACACTGAGCTTGTTTAAAATTATTTTATCTGTTGGGTTTTTGTTCGTCTCATTAAACAGTTTTATTACAAAGACGGAGGTGGTTTTAAAGACCAGATAAATGATTCATAGTGTCTGTTTTGTTGCTGAAAGTCTCAAACCCAGCTTTATTGCTTTGTGACACTAATACTGTAATAATTGTTCAAAATAAATGTGCAGCGCTACTTAACGTTCGCAGAAGCAGCGCACGAGTCATGGAGCAAATTCAAGCTTTTTGATGTAAACGAAGCCAGCTATTCTTGAATATATAACATTTTAGCATAACGAGGTGATGATCAAAGGAATTTTGATCAGTCTTAGTGATCATCCTCCCTGCAGGTGAAATCTAGTTTACATCAACATATTTTAAAGGAGGAAAATCTTTTCAGTTCAAACAGGCTAATACCTGCAGTCAAAGCACTGAAGGGCATCAGACTGCTCTAATTGCAACGAGGTTACCGACGATATGGCAACGTGAGGCAGATCAAAACAGGCAAGTTGCTGCACGGCCAGAACGCTCTTTTCCCACAGACGATTTTCACATCCATCAGGACAAACAAGCTGCTTTTGTCTGCAGCAGTCCTCCTCTCTGACTCCACGACTCACGGTGCAGAGAGAGGCAGGTATTGTCCGCTCTTCTCACTTTCTCGTCCCCTACAGAAACTGGACACTGCTGTCTTTTGTCCCTTTGTTGTCTTAATTACTTGACTCGGGTTCAGGGGGATCTGCTTACTCCAGGACTCTTTCTTTTGGCCTTGGGAAGGTTGACCACAGGGGACCCGCAGGCTGATGAGAAAAAATGTTTTAAACATAAAAAGCAGGACTGATGAAAGCACTCTGATTTTTGGAGACATTACAATCCTAAAAGGAATGGAAATAAACCACAACTCCCATCATTCCACGGTTTTAAACTCAAATCATCTTATCGATTCGGTCAGACTTTACAAAAGTTGTGCAACGATCTCATGCGAACGTGTCGGCGCCCATAGAATCTCATTGGGACAACTCTCCTCTACTACCACCACAAATTTAAGCTCAACCTCTTTAAAATCGACAGTCGTGTCCATCTTTGTGTTCCTTGGCTGTGGCAGCCATCTTGAACAGTGCTGACTGTGCATCAGTTGCATCATATCTCAAATACAACCCCAAAACTCAAATGAATTGAAAAGGAGGCTCCGTGGATGCACTCCTGTCTGCCTGCCAGCTGTGTTCGAGTGCCTGACCACTGAGATCATAAGATCTCCTAAGGAGATCCTGGAACTGGCAAGAAACGTGGCTCGTGACAGCAGAAGGGCAGGGATCGTCCCATGGCAGCTGCAGCTGGCTGTCCGCAGCGGCGAGGAGTTCGGCAGGCTGCTGGAAGGAGTGGCCATCGCTCTGGGAGGAGTTCTGCCTGGCATTCAGGCGGTCCTGCAGCCTGGGGGAACCGAGAGGCTAGCCGAGTCTGGGTGGACGGATCGGACAGCATCTGCAGCCAGTTTCTTCTGATCCGCTCTGGGACGGACCTTTACAAGAGATCCTTCCTGCCTACAGCCATCAGCATCTGTAACATCTCTTAATGAAACGAGGATAACGACTTACACAACATTTAATTTCACTTGGGGATTAATAAAGTACTGGTATTATTGAACTAATTTGAATTGAGTTTAATTAAATTGTAGACGTACATCTAATAATTATTTTCTGAGAATTTCATTTAAATCTATCCACTAGTTAATGGGATATTTTACTAACAACATAAATGAGCATGCACAGACAAAAGTGGCTCTGAAATAATTTATGACGTCATGAAGATTTTTCAGACTTTGTTCCACCGTTAGAGGGAGGCAGAGGATGTTTGCATGTCTGCTGTGGTGCTGGACTCTACAGTTTAAACAAGTTCAGAGCAAAGTCTTTAAAATGTGATTTGATCTAAAACTCAACAAGTCATTTGATTTTCAAAGACTTTATTACGCACGAGACAAAACCTTTGTCAACAAGTACTGACGTAAAGATTTTTGAACAGTGTGTTTTAAAGCACACGCAGAGACCTTTGAGGGTTACGTTTCTTCTGGAGGTGCATGAATCTCACCAACGATTAGGAACCAAGCACAGGCCGATGATGTCCAAACCAAGAGCAGCCTCCCTCCTGAACAACTCTGAAGTGAACACACAGTTTAGTTTGATTCACCTGTTCCGAGTTAAAGACCTGCGGCCCACGTGCTGCAGATTAGTCCACGTCCTCCTGGCTTTGGGTTGATCTTTCTCCACCGAGTTTCATTTATAAAATCTGACGCCTGCTGTTCTCGAAAATGTGCAGGTTGCATGTTTGACCTCATCCCAGAGGGAAGCCAGAGGGTCACACATGGCCCTCCAAATCCTCGCTCCGTGTGTGTGTGTTCATCCCCGAACAATCTGGGAGTCATTGCTCATATCTGATGAATGTTTAGCTTTACAGGGGAAAAATGAAAAGGTGGTTCAGCTTTTAATTAGATTAGATTTACTAAAAAAACATTTTTATTTGTTTGTTTGAATTTTACACACGCACACAAAAATGGTTTTATCTGGAACTACAGAACAGTTTTTATTTTCTTTGACCAAACTGAAGTGAATGAAAGCAGAGCGACGAACGACTTTAAAATTAGCTAAAGAAGTGGAAATCGAGTTGTAAGGAAAGAGCAACGTGCTGAATAAAGGCAATAAATAGTTATCCATTACCGAAGAGTAGCTAGAGGATGGCTAAAAGTAGCAAACAGGTAGATAAAAACTAAAAAGCTAAAGCTAAGTAGCAAAAGGCTAGCCAAAAGTAACAAATCTAACTAAAAGCTAAAAGTAATGTTTTTTCTAAAAGTAGCAAAAGTCCACTTAAAGTAGCAAAAAGCTAAAGCTAAGTAGCAAAAGGCTAGCCAAAAGTAACAAATCTAGCTAAAAGCTAAAAGTAATGTTTTTCTAAAAGTAGCAAAAGTCCATTTAAAGTAGCAAAATGCTAAAGCTAAGTAGCAAAAGGCTAGCCACAAGGAACAAATCTAACTAAGCTGAAAGTAATAAGGTTTTCTAAATGTAGCAAAAGTTCACTTAAAGTAGCAAAAAGCTAAAGCTAAGTAGCAAAAGACTAGCCAAAAGTAACAAATCTAACTAAGCTAAAAGTAATGTTTTTCTAAAAGTAGCAAAAGTCCACTTAAAGTAGCAAAAAGCTAAAGCTAAGTAGCAAAAGGCCAACCAAAAGTAGCAAAAAGCTACCCAAAAGCTAAGTAGCAAAAGGCTAGCCAAAAATAAGCAGTCTAAAAGCTAAACGTAACAAGTTTTTCTAAAAGTAGCAAAAAGGTCAAGTAAAGCCCAAAAAAGTAATATTTTGAAAAGAAAAGTTACAAATCAAAGTCATTGCACCTGACCTGAATGAGCTGAACGTTTTGATAAATGAACGGCTAAAATAGGAAAATATGTAGAAGCCGACAGATTTGAAAACGTGCACAGAAAGGCAGGGAAACTGTAGCGTGCATGAGCGTTCACACTATGAGGCAGAACGGGATTAGCCTGATCCGGTCTTTGTGGCCCAGATGCTCCTCAGCAGATCTCACTGATAAAATAAATTCCACTTTATTGTGAGGACGAGGCAAAAATAAACATAAATACAGATTTAAGAAACATGCATACAGTGTTTATTTGCAACCAGAACACATTAAATAAAACTACAAAGATACTTCACTTATGCAAAAGACAGATTATGTTCCATTCACATATAAAATAAGAATAATTTACTGTATAAATTAAAATCTCACTATTTTTTTTTCTATTTACAAACAGATGAAAACAAAGTTGATGATAATTTCCCACCGAGCTTCTGGTGCTTTGGGACATTCTGAACAGTTTAGGAAAATATTGAAAATAGCAGGAATTCTTCTGAATGACAGGACAGGATGCAGAATAAGAATTATTTTTTGGAATTTAAATTCACACGATCCTTAAAAATTTAGCCGTTTTGACCTGAATGTCTCTGCAGCTCTTTGAAAATAACATTTTTGTTTCAAATGCTCTGATGATGAGTTCCTTTATAATTTATTGTCATGCGCCGCTAAAGGCAAAGGTGGATCATGTTCTGGATGGATTTTAAAGAAACTCTCGGAAGGTAAATAGATCTGGGACACTTTTGGAGTCAGTCTAGTTCAAGCTGGCTGCCACCGCTGATCAACTCCAGCCAACATAAAAAAGGCTAAAAGTCCATCAGAGTTACAGATAATGAGCTAAAATTTGATGTGAAAGTAGCTAAAAGTCACCTTCAGCTCATAACATTAATATCAAGGCATGACCAAAATGGCTCCAGCTGTCATTTCTCAACACAAACTGATCAGAACCTAAAAGGCAGCAGGTGAGCTGCTTTTAATTTTCACTGAAATCCAATAGAAACCAAAGTACCGTTTTAATAAGAACAAGCAGAACTTAAGTGCATTTAAGGCTTTTTGTGGAAATATGTGAGGTGACCACCTGCAGAAAGCGACTTGAAACATACTGTCCCATGATGAGAACATATCGCGGTGCTGATTTGGGTCTGGTAAGATTCTGACCCGCCATTAAAACGCTCCAGCGCCACACAGAAAACAGCTGCAAACATGCCGTCAGCTCAGCTTTCAGCTCTTCCCGTCTCCATGTACCGTATTTTCCGGTGTATACGCCGCAGTTTTTTTGCATAGATTTGTCAGTCCTGTGACTTATATATGTTTTTTTTTCTCCTATATTCATAACGCGAGTTTTGACAGATGCTTTAAATTTCAAAGAACTGCAACAGCGAGTCCTCCCGCCCGTGCACGCTCGCTTCACTCAGCTGGTGCAGGCGGAGGAACGCTGGAGAGCTAGCGGCTCCAGCCGTGAAGGATGGATGGTACCACGTCGCACCACCCAGGGGAAATTAAGCCATTTAATCTTTAAATAAATGCATAATAAATGTGATTATACGCCAAAGAGACATATATATATATATATTTTCCTCTTCATGATGCTTTTTTTGACTGATGTGACTTATACACCAGAAAATACGGTATGTTGCTTCTGCTCAGCCTTCAGGCCCCAAATCTGCGTGACAAGAAAAACTGAAGAGTCTGTAGCATCTTTAGACCCCTAAACGATGTCTATGTGCAGTTACTGAAGAAGGTAAGCAAAAACAACCCAAACAAAAACAGCAGACGGGTTTTTCAAGTGGTTTGTTGAGGCAAACTTTAAAAAAGTGGCCACAAAATGATCAATCCCACAATGAATTACAGAGTACATAACAATATTTACCCTTTTGTGTTGCATTTTGAAGTTAATGTGAACAATATGTTCAATAAATGTCAAAGAGCACAAAAAACCCAAACATATATTTGAACATTTAGTCTGGTGCACATAAAGAGTTGTAGTCCTGATGAGTCCTTAACGTAAAAACATGGTTTTTCTAGCTGGGGGATGTGATGGGAATCTTGCTTAGGACTCCAATTCTGCATATCTGCATGAGTATGGATGTTTGTGAGAGACTTTAAGTCCAATTTAAGAAAAAAAAACACCAGATGTGGGAATCAGAGAAGAGGGAAGAGGAACTCCTTAAGGCACTTGAACACCAACAAACCGGAAAGACTCCCACTCACAACCGAGCAGAAAAAACCTCTCAGATCTAAATGGTTGTTTGTCTGTAAAACAGCATCTCTGAGATCCCACTCCTCCCGCTCAACGAGGGACTTCGGCTTCTGCTCGCCACCAGCACTGATTACAGGTACATCTCAATAAATTAGAAAGGAGGAACAAATGTGTCTATGCCAATAGATGGAGTCAAAAAGTGAAATACTTCACACAGAGTGGTTTACTTCTAAAGGTTGCTTCTGTTAATTCGGCTGATTATGGCTTACAGCTGATAAAACCAAACACTCAGAACATTTGATTATTACATAAAACCGATAGATTGACGAGGTGCTGACTGCAGCTCATCCAGACAGATCCAGGACATGAGCTCCAACTGTCCCGCTCCTCGTGTCGAGCCATGACTGAACCAGAGACGATGTCAGAGGCGTCTTATCTGGGCCAAGGACCAAAAGGACTAGACTGTTCCTCAGTGGTTCAACGTCCTCGTTTAATTTGGACATCAATGTCCCAGAGTCTGGAGGCAGAGTGGAGAGACAGAAGCTTGTTCGTGGTTCAGAGTGATATTTTCATGGTCACTGCACGGTGGCTCAGCTGGTAGAGCTGCTGCCTCTCAGCGAGCTGGTCCCTGGTTCAAATCCCGGCCGGGGACCTTTCTGGGTGGAGTTTGCATGTTCTCTCCGGGTACTCCGGTTTCCTCCCACAGACCAAAACCATGCATGTTAGGCTGATTGGCAACTCTAAATTGTCCCTAGGTGTGAGTGTGTCTCATTTGTCTGTCTGTGTCCCTGTGATGGACTGGAGACCTGTCCAGGTGTCCCCCACCTCTCTCACAATGACTGCTGGACATCGGCACCAGTGATTCTGTCAGGGGATTTGTGGTCAAGGTTTATGGATGTTTTATCACTACTGTTAACGTTGATTTGCCGGATTGTTCTTTTCTCTCTCAGAGTTGGACGAAGAGCTGATTTGATCCTGCATGTGCAGCTGGATGAGGTCGAGGTCATCAGGGCCTGAGCTAAGAACTGATAAGCATACTGTATATAAAACAATTCTTGCACACTGCTCGGTGCAGATTCTCGTGACTGGGCTCCACGATGTAGAACTTTTTCCCAAACATCTGTGTAACCTGTGGTGACCGTCTGCCCTCGCAAGTAGAACTGGTTTAAAAAAATCTTCTCGTGTCCTCGAGTGTGGCTTCTTGGAGTAAGTAAGATGAATGGAGGATATTTTTATCCAACAGATTTCCTACGACCCAGAAAGGAAGAAGCGGGTAAAGATGATGGACGGATGATGATTTGGGGAGCCATGTCATCAGCGGCTGTTGGTCTACGGAGTTTGAACAAGTCCACGGTCCAGTACCAGCACATGTTAGAGCACCCAATGCTTCCTTCTCTTGACAAGCTTCATGGAAATGCTGAATTATTTTCCAGCAGGACTTTACAACCTGCCCAAACTGCTTAAAGTACCCATACCTGGTTTATTGCCCACAGTATTGCCAGACCACATATACCTACAGGCTTCTATCAAGTGTACAACGCAGTGGTTCCCAACCATGCTCCTTGAGGAACACCATCCTGCATGTTTTAGTTGTGTCCCTGCTTTGACACACCTGATGTGAATAAATGGGTGATTGACCGGCTTCTGCAAATCTTGAGGAAGTAGTTAAATCACTGACTCAGGTGCGTTGGAGCAGGGAAACAAGTAAAACATGCAGGATGGTGTTCCTCAAGGACCAGGGTTGGGAACCACTGAACTAGAGACACCAGAGCCAATGATAAAGACAACATGGAGGCCACTAACAAAGCAATCTGAGCTTTCAGAACATCTCAGCAGCTCCAAAGGCTGATGGGCTTCACACCAAGCTGTCCTGATGTAGTATCCTGCACGGCTGACCAAGTACTGAGAGCGTATATTGTACAGTACATGGACATACTTCTCAGCAAGCCAATGTTTCTGTATTAAAATGCTTTTTATTGGTCTTATGTAATAATTTAATGTTCAGAGGAAATCAATGTTTATTAGCTTTAAGCCATAATCATTAAAGGTACGAGGCAAAGACTTGAAATATATCACTCTGTGTTTCATGAGACTACATGAGCTTTACTTTCTCAACTGATTTGCTTTAATTACCTTTAAAATTATATTTTAGACGACTGAGATTTACCTTTAGCTTTCTGCCTCTCCAATCTTTAGTTTTTTTTAACAAGCAATTGATCCAGAAAGTGCTGGAATACGTACACACACCAAAGACGGGACATTTCCACAACCTCTCCCCGTCCTCTACAAAGCATGTTGTCATGTAAAGAAAAGAAACGACCGACAGGAGTGAACAGACAAACGTATATCCAAGTCTTCGGATGGGAGGAATTCTGGCTTTTGGCTGCAAAATGTTCATATGAGGCAGTTAAAACTTTGAACAGCTTATGTGTCCTTCACCTTTTTTGAAACGATGAAGATGCAGTTGCTACTGAACTGAAGGTAGCCGCCACTCTGTCCCCAGCTGTGTTTTCCACTCGTGAGTCTGCAGTCTGGAGGGATTTCAGAGGTGACGATGAAAACGGTCTCCTGCTTTTTCAAAGCAGCTTTCTGTTTGTTTTAGAGCTGCAGCTCTTCCTCGGTCCAGTCTTTCGCCTCCGTCTCCATCACTGCGGCCCCTGACAGCCCAGTCTGACCATTTGTCTTTGGTGCTGAGACGGATGAGAATGCCTGACCTTTTTGGCCCACAGGCTGTTTGGTAACAGCTACAGTCGTTGGCTCATGATAGCGCCTCATAGTTTCATTTTCTGACGGCCTTGGCGCTTGACGACCCTTGAGCAGAGCAGATGGTGGCGTTGGGTTATGGTGGACTTCAGCAGGAGTGCTAGTGGCCCACCAGAGGGCTGAGGTCCCCGTGATGGTTCTTTAGCTTCTTCTTGAAGAGGGAGATGGTGGAGGGTCGGTAAAGGATGATCCACGGCTCAGAGGACACGGTGCTCTGGCTGCAGCTGTTCGAGCTGCTGACGGTCGGGATGTTTTGAGACCTGGTGAGAAAACGAGGAGATTAATCAGGGACTGAACAAAGTATACAAATAGATAAACACAAGAAAACAATAATATAACAACAACACGCACTGTAAAAGGTCTGAAATCTGTCTCCAAATGTTAAACACACTTAAAAAGGGATAAAGCAGTGGCACCCACTCCTGATCTCTAACAGCCACTATCCTCTATATTTTATTTGTTTTCCTCCTCCAGAACTCCTCGTTCAGTGATTGAATTGCATCTTCATCATGTTCTCATGTTCTACAGGAACCTGTTAATCACCCATTCATTCAAATGTATTTCCCTTTGGGATTAATAAAGTATTTTTGAATTTAAATTTGAATTGAAATCTGGTGTGCTGAAGCAGAGAAACATCCAAACTGTGCAGGGTCACGATTGGACACCACTGGTTTAAAGTGTAACGTTATGGACCATCTACTGGTAAAATAACAAACTACGCTTTATTAAAATAAGAATTGTGCATTGACTGAGAATGTGTTGTTAGATTTAAAAACAGCTAACATCAACTCTAGAGGGGTGTATTAAAGTTTTAAAGGACATAGTAATCCACAGAAAGGTGGGGGTGAATTTTTATTTGGTTGCAATTTACACTTTTAGCCACTAGGTGTCACTACACCACACAGACTGGGAATGCAATTTCCCAATTACTGATGGTTTATAAACCAAAAATTGATCTCAATACAGCAAAGACTGTGCTTATTTTTAGATTTTATTGATTATAAAAATCAAACTCTTTGTTTTATAAGTCAACGGTTGAAAATCTTTACCAATCAAAAATGCTTTTAGAGTTTAAAAGAGTTTAAAAACAAAAATGCTCAGAAAACCACTATAAGGAAATAAATACTATCGTATTTTTCACCGTATACGTAAGTCAGTTTTTTGCTTAACTTGGCAAGTCTTGCAACTTATACATCGAAGCGACTAATATACGTGCCCCCCCCCCCCCCCCATTTATAACCCAATTTTTGGCTGAGATCCGACTATTTCATTTATTATGACCTGGAAAATATTGAACACTACCATTTTTAGCCACTAGAGGGCCCTTGAGCCTTATGGTAAGTGAAGTGTCTCATTAATAGATAAAAGTGGCTATTAATGAGACACTTGGCTTGCCATACTAAGCCACCTTCGTCTCACTCTGGAACTCCTGGAGCAAACGTCAAATCATCTTCATTTCGCTGCTCCGTCCAGGCGAAACGCAGCTGATTTGACCATTAAAGTGCATTTATTAAAGCAAGCGTTCAACTGAGACACACCTTTGCTATAATGTTGAACAAATAATCGATTTTAGGTGTTAATCTTGTTAAATTTCAAAGAAATGCACAGCGAGTCCTCCCTCTGCGCGCTCCAGCAGCAGCGAATTGATTTTTGAAATGCAGCTGATTTTAATGTCAAAGTGCATTTATTGAGGACAATTTAAACTGAGACACATCTTTACTATAATTCTGAGCAAACAAATAATTGTTGTCAAGTGTCAATCTTGTTAAATTTTGTTAAAGTCCTCTTGTGCGCGTTCTCACGGCCACCGTTTTGGCAGCCAATCAATTTTTGGCACACCGGTCCACGTTTCCAGATGGTCAGCAGTGACACATAATAGTTGCAACTTATACGTCAAAGTGATTATTTATGTGTTTTTTTTCCCCACTTTGTTAGACATTTGTGGACTGATGCAACTTATACGGTGGAAAATACAGTACCTAAACTACATTATAACTTAGATTCATAAGCTGGATGATATTATTATGGATTCAGACATTAACATGCTTAAGAATATCCAGTCACATTATTAGATGAATAAAAAAAAATGTATATAGACTTTGTCCTGTAACAAAAGCTTTATAATAAATAAGCAGGTTTTTTTTTTTTATTGAAAACTTTGCTGTTTTCATAAAAGTATATCTTGAGACTTTTTGTTCATTCAGTTTGGCGCAGGAAGCATTAGCGTTAAATCTTTTTAACCATTTTGTTTTTTATAAAATGCTCTCATAGATGGGTAATTATACAAGTGTCTATTCTGCAAAGTGATGAACTCTTTGGTTCATTGCAGTTTAATTTAAATTAATCTTTCATAGTTCCTGCAGTTTGGACTTAAAATAGTTGAACATTATGTTCAGTCCACTTCACAGGGAGCCTAAAAGATTTATGTGCCCCCAGTGTTTAAAAAAAAAAAATTAAAAAATGTATTCCGCACTGTTTGTGGTGCAGGTACATTATCATGAGAATCTCAATTTATCCTCAGTCACGATCTTTGACAAATTAAAAAAAAATGTTCCAATGAGACATTATTGATTGTCAACAATGAGCTAAAGTTTACTGAAAGTGTTGAAATTGTTTCCACAATATTTTTCTGCTCACTGACATTTCCAAATTTTGAAGGTGAGTTTTAATTAGGGGTGTCCCAATACTTTATTTTTTTCAGACCAAGTACTAATACTTCATTTTGGGTACTTTCCAATACTGAGTATTAGTTAGTACTTAAACATTAATGACTTTAGAAACTTTTTTTTTTATTAAGAACTCAGTAAACAGTCTGCTGTCCCGTGTCCTGCTGTCCACATGTGTTTAAATATCTCAAAACTCTGGACTCAGTAATTTATCAAATGGAAAAAGAAATGATGTCACCAACCATGAATGTGGTATTGATCCAATCTATCAGGGTGTTTTTATGAGTCCATGTACGATGAGTTGAGACTGGTATTGAGCCCGATAAAGATACTGGTATTTGCATACAATACCAATACCATTATTGGTATCGTATACAAATACTGGTATTCATCAAACTAACGGTGTCCAGATACTGGTCTATCAGTATATGTGCATGATACAATACATAGGATTGGTATTTTATACAAATCCAATACTGTTCGTGTTCTGATACCGATACTGTATTGGTATCGGTATCAGGACACCAACGGTACTGGTATACGATACAAAGTATTAGTATTGTATACCAATACTGGTGGTGTCCCGATACCAATACTGTATTGGTATCGATATACAATACTAATACTATGTATTGTATACCAATACTGTTGGTGTCCTGATACCAATACTGGTGGTGTCCCGATACCGATAACGTATTTGGTATCAATATCAGGACACCAACGGTATTGGTATACAAAACATAGTATTAGTATTGTATACTGATACCAATACAGTATTGGTATACAAAACCAATACTGGTGGTGTCCTGATGATACCGATACTTGTATTGGTTTTGGTATCAGGACACCAACGGTATTGGTATACAATACATAGTATTAGTATTTTATACCAATACTGGTGGTGTCCTGATGATACAGATACTGGTATTGGTATCGGTATCAGGACACCACCAGTTTTAAAAATTATTTTAGGACTTCCATAGTTAAAGTGAAAGTTTAGGCATCTTGATACTTGGCAGCTCTCTCTAATATCCATACACTTACTTGACTGTGACGTGGAGCAGCAGCTTCGCCAACATGGCGACCACTGTCAGAATGAGGAGAGCAGCCAGAGCGTAGATGGTCCACACTGCGGAGAGGGACGACAAGACATCAAACATCCTGTCAGCGTAATGAAAACAAACTGAGGCAAACGCTGCAAAGATTAGCAAGCAAAGAGTTATTTAAGCTCTGCTGGCACACCTGTTAGCGGTGTTCAGCCAGCTAATTGTCAAAATACAGCAACACATAATCAGCACACATCTGTTCTCCTCTGGCTCAGAGACAGATAGCTGGTTCAGGCAAAGCATGTGGGAGCTGGAGAGACGTTTTGCAGGAATTTACAAAAGCACGGGACGTGTCAGTCCACCCAGCAAAGCTTTGACAAGACGTCTGATTGTGATCAGCAGGGAGAAGCAAAGTTACTGCAGTTTTAGTGATTGGCAGACGGCGTGCCTTCAAGAAACTGCGCTGCACCACGAAAAGCAGAAGCATTTCACCAAAATAGGATGATTTAAATAAATTTAGAGGAAACAAGCTCATGCTACAGGATCAGTGGGTGTTAACATACTAGCGCTGTGTCCGGTGGTCTCGCTGCGTCCAGCCCACTGACCTGGCATGTTGTGCTCCGGTTTACCGGGGCTGGACGTGATCACATACAGGATTTGGGATGAGCGTCCGTTAGACGTGCTGTTGGACCTCTCAGTGACAACGCTGGCGGGCTTCGGCTCCTCCGTGCTGGAGGCTTCTGCTCCGTCGTCCTCATCGGCGCCTATAGTCTCTGCTGTTCTGCTGTCCGGGCTCCTGAGAGCTACAGGAACAAGAATAAAACATTATGAACGTTCACATGGTGTTTCCTTAGACACTGATCAAACATATGGGCTGATTTTAGAGACACAGAAGAAAAGAATCCGTGTTTTAATTTTTTTTCAGCTGAAAATGTTTGCTGATGTTAGCTTGTAGCTATAATTTTGACCATATTAGCTTTGAGCTATGATATTGCCAAGTTTAGCATTTGGCTACAGTTTATTTAATTGGCGCCTTTAGCTACAAATGTGTCCATTTTAGCTTGTAGCTAAGGTTTTGCTGTTCTTAGCTTTTGATAAAAGCCAAGTTTTTACAATATTTTGATTTTAGCTGCTGTAACAGGATCACATTATGTTTTGAGATTTAGAAATAGGTTTGAAATTAAATCTAGCAAATCTAAAACACTGACTGCATTTGTTAGGAGGCAGCTTGGCTCTTAGTTCTGTGAACATGTGGTGTTATTAGATTTTTTTATTATTATGTCCAGCTAGAGTGTATTCAAAAATATTTGCAATAAAGTCTTTTTAAGCTGCTTCGAGCTGCAGATTGTCCTAATTAAAGTCGTTGCTGGGGAGCTCGGACTGTTTTAACTCATTTGAGTTTGTAGATGAAAGTAATTTCCTAAATGATAAATCTTTTGCCTTTCCTTTACCTCTCCCAAACACAATGAGGTTTATTTAAAATCTAAAGGCAACTTTGGGATTTATGAGCGTTGGACTCCTTTATTTATTAGATAGTAATACTATCTAATAGTAGTATTGTGGCATTTGTGGCACACAAACACAAGGTTTTGAAGTGAACCTTTGTCTCAGAAATGGATCAATCAGTTTTGACTGACGAAGTCAAGGGACTTTAGGGTTGGTCTGTCCATAACCGTGGCTGAGGTCACCAAAGTAGTTAAAAAGCTCCACGGTGTCAGGGCTCCGGGGCTGGACGAGATCTGTCCTGATCTCCTTAAGGCTCTGGATGTTGTGCCCTTGTCTTGGATCACATGCCTTTGCATCATCGTGTGGACGTTGGGGGCAGTGCCACTGGATTGACAGACTGGGGTGGTGGTTCCCCTTTTCAATTAAGGGGGACCGGAGGGTGTGCTCTAATTACAGGGGCATCACTCTCCTTCGCCTCCCTGGTAAGGTCTATTCAGGGGTTCTGGAGAAGTGAGTCTGATCGTTGGTTGAACCTCAGATCCAGGAGGAACAATGCAGGTTCTGTCTTGGCTGTGAAAAACTGGCTCAGCTCTTTACCCTCACTGGGGTCCTTGAGGGGTCATGGGAGTTTACCCATCCAGTCTACATGGGTTTTGTGGACTTGGAGAAGACATTCAACTGTGTTCCTCAGGGTACACTGGGGGGTGCTCTTCGAGTATGGGATTGGGGGCCCATTGTTACGGGCTGTTCAGTCCCTATACAAGCGGTGTGAGAGTTTGGTTCGCATTGCCAGCAGTAAGTTGGACCTCTTCAGGGTGGGAGTTGGACTCCACCAGGGCTGCCCATTGTCACAGACTCTGTTCATAACTTTTATAGACAGAATTTCTCAGGGGGAGGAGGGAGTCTGGTTCAGTGGCCTCAGGATTCCTTCTCTGCTCTTTGCAGATGATGCGGTCCTGTTGGCGTCATTGTGCCGTGATCTTCAGCTCTCACTGGAGCGGTTCACATCCGAGTGTGAAGAAGCTGAAATGAGAATCAGCACCTCCAAATCTGAGGCCATGGCCCTCAAGTAGAAAAGGGTGGATTGCTCTGTTCAGGTCAAGGGTGAGGTTCTGCCTCAAGCGGAGGAGTTCAAGTATCTCAGGGTTTTGTTCACGAGTGAGGGAAGAATGGAGCGTGAGATTGACAGACGGATTGGTGCAGCGTCTGCAGTATTGTGGACTCTGTGCCGATCCGTTGTAGTGAAGAGGGAGCTGAGCTGTAAGGCAAAGCTCTGTTTACTGGTCGATCTACGTTCCTACCCTCACCTCTGGTCATGAGCTCCGAGTAGTGACTGAAAGAATGAGATCGCAGATACAGGAGGTTGAAATGAGTTTCCTCCACAGGGTAGCTGGACTCTCCCTTAGAGATAGGGTGAGAAGTTCAGTTATCAGGAGAGACTCGGAGTAGAACCGCTACTCCTCCACGTCGAAAGGAGCCAGTTGAGGTGGTTTGGGCATCTAGTAAGGATGCTCCCTGGGCGCCTCCCTAGGGAGGTGCTTCGGGCATCTCTGACTGGGAAGAGGCCCCGGGGAAGAGCCAGAACAGGCTGGAGAGACTATGTCGCTGGCCTTGGAACGCCATGGAGTTCCCCCAGAGGAGCTGGAAGAAGTGGCTGTGGAAAGAGATGTTTGGACCTCCCTGCTCAAGCTGTTGCCCCCACAACCCAACTTTGGAATAAACAGAAGATGATGGATGAGTCAAACCTGTAAAACAATTTCCAAGTAATGTTGCCAGCAAAACTGTAAATAGAATCAAAATTTTTAAAAGCTAAAACCAACAAAGCAGACGCTACAAACGTTAAAATCTGTTCTGAGCAGCCGTTAAAAAAACAAAAAACAAGAGAGAAATTTGTGAATCAAACGTCCTGAACTGCGTCTAAAGACTTCTGGATTGCAGCCTGGCTCTCTCTGCCATGAATGGCGGTTGGATGTTAAAGCAGCGTGGGATTTTTTTCCTACTTTTCACAGAATCGCTCAACCTGACTGTGATCTTCCCGGAACGTTCCACATGTTTCCCATTTGCAAACAAAATAGCACGCTTGGAGTCCAGTCGCAGCTGAAAGGCACCACCAGCCTCATCTGAGAGCGTTTAGCCTGAAATTACTGCTGCAGCCACCCAACCAGCCACCACCGGCAGGAGGCAAGGCACTGAAGTATTCTGCTCGAGTAAGAGTACTATTACTTTGGTGAAATTTGAGTAAAAGTAAAACGCTACTTTAAAGTGGATTCAGAGTGAAAATATTTCGTTTGAAGTAGCTGGAGCGGGTTTCTTCTCCAACGTCCTAAAAAGGGGAAATCCTAAACTCATCTTCAGGTAACATATTTCAAATTAAAGAGTTATAATAAAATAAAACATTTAGGACGTTTAGAGGAGGGATAATGCATCACTTTAGTGCAAACCATAATTAAGGTAAGTGCAAGGCAGCAGCCGTATAAACTAAAGTTCTCGGCCTCTCTGTTTATCTGAATCAAAGCTCCTTCTGCTGACCTTATTTACAACATCAGGCTTTTAATGTCAGTCTGAGACGCACAGTTTCCCTAATTTCATCTATTTTTAAACAACTGATGCTCCCTGTGTTTTATCTTTAGCTCTAGTTTATTCTGCAGCTCATCTCAAGACATTTGTTTTAATAAGAGATTTTGGAGAAAAAAAAAATTGTTGTCTTGGTAACCTCCAACCTCCCAGATCAGATTGATAAATTCTAAAAATAAATCTAAATAAATATTAATAAGAGTGGGACAGAAGATTTTGAAGAGTGGTACTCTATGGCTGGAGTATACGTGCTGATATAACGACAGGTAATCACTAAAATAAAAGTCAACATTCACTTGGAAAGCCCTCATATTAAGATAATTTAACTTAGAAACTTTAGGCGGCAACAGTCGGCTCTAATAATACTTGTAACATCATTTCTCATAACTTTGGGCATAATGTAACTCTGGCATGCCTGATATAAAGACAGACGTTGACAAAACATTTTTCTAGAAGTCTGTCCATGTTGATGTCAAACCAAAATAAAATTTTTAATAAATTAATAAGCACAAGACTTTATGTAATAATCTTGTTGAAGTTTATTAAAAGTTATTCACCCTTTATTATCCACCTCACAAAAGGTTTCTTAACTTTATTTCTTACTTTTCCGTCAATTTTAATGAGGCCCAAACAGAAGCTAAAAGAGAAAAAAAAAAAGTTAACTCGGCCATTTTTAGAGCTATTCAGTTGAAATTTGGTGTATTGTAGATGAGAACGATCCCTATAAAAAATCCAAGATGGCCACCTAAGCTAAAAAGGAAAAATACTATAAATCAACCAATTTTAGTGATATTGAGCTGAAATTCAGTGATAGCTGAGAACGTTTCCCATCAAATACTGCATCAAATCAAAAATCCAAAATGGCCACCAAAGCTAGATTTAAATAGCCATTTTTACACATAGAGCGGAGATTTGGTGTGGTTATAGCTGAGAACGTTCCTCATCACAAACTGAATCCAAATCAAAAATCCAAGATGGCCACCTAAGCTAAAAAGGAAAAAATACAATAACTGTAATTTTTAGAGATGAATTTTGTTTAAGTGGTTCCTGAGAGTGAACATAGGCCCAAACCTTTAATGCCAGGTTTGTAAAATTATTAAAATAAAAATAAAATAAATAAAATAAAATAAAATTATTTTTTAAAAATACATTAAATGTCACAAATTTGAAATGGAATTAGTCTAAATCCACTTTCACAAGTGTTACTTTTATATGCTAATATGCTAAAAGCAAGTTGTTTGTCACCATAATAAAACATTCATAATATGCATTATAAAACATTTATCATAAAAAAAAAAAAATTTCTCACCAAAAAGTAAGCAAATCCCCACCAAGTTTTCTCACTGTGTCAATAGAAATGATTAAATTATATCCTCGAGGTTATTGTGTGGATACTGAATCAGCAGTTACACTTTATTATTTTGCATTCAACCTATATTCATTGTTCTTAGCTGTGATTTATTTGTCTTTCAGTTCCGTCCCCATTGTATTTAATATTTCTTCTGTTAATAAAATAGAGCCCACTGATTTCAGGAGGTGACCTTTTCTCGTGCTGCATCTCGGAGTCCATTTCTGACTGACATGGTGCCTCATGCAAAACAAGATCTATGTTTCCAGGCGAAAGTATCGCCTCTGCAGGGGTCAGGGGGATTCTGACCTCCTGCTATTGTTTTAGTGTAACGCCAGCAAGCCAAAAAAATGAGACAGCAACACAGATGGGGGGCAGAGAGGGAACAGATTGCTTCTCACTGTGGAGCTTGAATGTCACCTACCCTGAGTTATATCAGAGATATGCTTCACCTGCTCCTTTATAAATTAAACTATTAAATCATCCTCAGGTGTTTTCAGGCATTTACAAAAAGAGCATAAAACAAAAATGATGTAGGACAACTATTCTCTTTCCCATTAGTCTGAAAGAGAACGTGCAGGGACGCCGTCTACTTTGCGTGACTCTTCCCCAGTGAGCTATCAGAAGGTGTGCAGAAGCCTTCGGTGTGTAGGTGGCACACAAACTTGCTGTGCAGCTCAACTCTGGGAAAGCAAAGCCGCCTGCTGCAGCTTGATAACAGCGCGAGTTCCTAGGAAAACAAATCTTTATCTGAACAAGCAGAATCACCTGCGGCTGTGAGACTCTGTCTGGCAGAAGAAAGAGAAAAGGGACAGTGAGTGGCATGAGAACTGCCTCCCCGGAGCTAACTGGAATTAGCTGGTCTAACTAAACCAAGGCTGTTATGCAAAAAAACTCCACCCCGCTGGGACACACCCACTCATACAAATGTCATTCTTAGTGAGGATAAAGGACGCTCTAGCTAAAGATGGTTGATACGGCAGGGAAATTAAAGGAAGCTCCCACTGCCTTTCATGCTAAAGTTTTAGATCATGTTATGTTGGGAAAGGACAGAGTTGAAGCTGTTTTGGTCACAGCTAAAACAATCTCACATGTGTTGATTAACTCTCAGCTACTACCACATCAAATTTTAGCTCAATATCTGGTAAATTGACTGTTATTATTTTTATGTTGGTTAATGTAACTTAGCACAGGCAGCCATCTTCAATCAGACTGCCTCCAAAAGTTAATAAGATATAGATGGCATGGTGTACCACAAGGCTCTGTCTTAGGACCCACCCTCTTTACAATCTACATAGGTAATGTAGGTCAGAGCATCCCTGATGCATCCTTACACTTCTTTGCTGATGACACAGTTGTTTATTGTTGAGCTAAAACCGTTGCTAAGGCTTTCCAGCTCTTTCAATCTTCTTTCGACATCATCCAGTCTGATTTGTTCCGTTTCAAATTTGTCCGAAATGCCAACAAAACCAAAGGGATGCTTTTTCAAACAGAAAGTCGGTCCCAGCAGTTTATCCTTTGACTTTATCCTTGAATGGTGCCCCTATTGAGTTTGTCAATTCCTACAAATATTTGGGCATCTTGGTCGATTCACATCTCTCTTTTAAGTTCCACATAGAAAACCTATTGAAGAAACCGAAAGTTAAACTGGGTTTCTTTTTCAGAAATAGATCCTGTCTAACTCTGAATTCTAGGAAACACCTTGTAACAGCTACTTTCCTTCTGTTCATTGACTATGGTGACTTTATTTACATGAATGACCCTACAAGCACCCTGCAGATGTTGGATGCTGCCTATCATGGTGCACTAAGATTCATAACTGGCTGTGATTATCGTACCCACCACTGCACCCTGTATTCACTGGTTAACTGGACATCAATAACTTCACGTAGACTCTCCCACTGGTACATTTTTATCTTTAAATCACTTCTTGGTCTGCTGCCTTCTTACATCTCCTCCTACGTGCTCTCGGGACATTATTATCTGCGGTGTTCCCTCAGTGCAGACTGAACTAGGCAAAAGGGTCTTCTCCTACTCCGCTTCTGTTTCCTGGAATATCTGACCTCTCTAAGTGGCTTCAAACATTTGGTAAGTTCCTGGGAAAAATCAATGCAGACATGTTCTTGTTTTTTGTTTTCTACACCGCCTTATAACCTAGCAGTTTTTTTTTAACTTTTCCTTTTTAATACCATTTTATTTTCACTTGTTATAAAAAAAATCTCAATTTGTATGCATCCTTTATGATTATCTATTATTGTCTTTGTTGTCCACTGTTGTCATCACTCTTTGTTAAAACCAGGTCTCTCTTGTAAATGAGTCCCCGAGGCTCAGTGGGATTAACCTGTCTAAATAAAGGTTGAATGAATGAATGAATGATTACTTTGTGCAACTTTCATTAAAGTTTATCCAGGGGTTCATGAGATATGTTGGTGAGAGACAAACACAAACAGGCAAACACTTTCCACCTTCGCCTCTTCACGAAATGGTACCTTGGTACAGAAGAGCGAAGCCCTGGGCCTGGTTGGTGCGGTCCGAAAAGAAGTACAGGATGACAAAGTCTCCTGTGACGTTTACCAGCTCCCGCGGGGGGCTGCGCCAGTCGAAGCGGGCCACCACTTGGTTGGTGTAGCCATCCAGGAGCTCTACCATGTCCGTCTGATCAGAGATGTCAAAAAAGGTGAAGTTGAAGAGGACGGCGGAGGAACCGGGAACCTGGATGGTCCAGTAGCAAACACGACTGGCCCCGTATTTATCAGGAAAATCAGGGGAGTAGATGACTCCTGTTGGTGAGGTGTAGTTCCCACCACAGGCACCCACCTGGGCTGAAGTAAAGATAAGAAAAACACAGAACTATATTTTCCAAAGAAAACAGAAGCTTTACAAGAACCAATTTTAGGAAGAAACACAACCATTTGAATCCAGTCATCTTTTACCCGCTTCTTCGTTTTCGGGTCACGGGGATCGCTGGACATGAGTCTAACATTCATGTTTTCGGTCTGTGGGAGGAAACCAGAGTACCCGGAAAAAGCCAGTTCTGTATCCCTTAATTGGCTCCGTTTGTTTTAGGACTGATGTTGAAGTTTTATTATTGACCTATAAGGCCCTGAATGGACAGGCTCCTGTAAACCTGTCTGACTCCTGCAGCCCTGTGTGTCCAGATCCCTCCGATCTGATGATTATTTGCTTTTGGTTGTCCTGCAGTCTAAGCTGGTCCACAGAGGTGATCGGGCCTTTTCAGTTGTAGCTCCTAAACTGTGGAACCAGCTGCCTCTTCATGTCAAGACACTTCATGTTTTAAGTCTCATCTTAAAGCACATTTGTACTCTGGCTTTTAATATAGCACGAATGATGCCTTTTTATTTATTTATTTATTGACTGCATCTTATTGATTTTATTTTGTTTTCATCTAATTTTAGATGTTATTTTTAATTAATTCTATATTCTTATGGTCTCCTGTTTTTATATTGTCTTCTCACTATTTATATTATGTGCAGCACTTTGGCCAGCAACAGTTGCTTTTGAATGTGCTACATAAATAAGCTTAATTACCTAATTCTGTGTCAGAGCAAAGACGGAGGAATTAAAGTTAGTTATGACTAACACTCCATGAAGTGGTGTGTTCATGTGCAACATAATAAGCTTACATTGACCACAGCGTGTCCAAAAACAACCCGAACAAACATTTAACCAAAGAGATTGCTAAGAGCTGTTTTTAAGGATGGGCGACACGGTGGCGCAGTTGGTCGAGCTGTTTTCTCAGCGAGAAGGTTGCAAGATCAAATCTCGGCCTTTCAAGGTGGAGTTTGCATGTTCTTTCCGTGCATGCGTGGGTTTTCTCCAGGTACTCCGGTTTCCTCCCACAGACCAAAAACATGCATGTTAGACTGATTGGTAACTCTAAATTGTCCCTAGGTGAGAGAGTGAATGGTTGTCTATGTGTCCCTGTGATGGACCTGCGACCTGTCCCCCGCCTCTCACACAGTGATGGCTGGACATGGGCACCAGTGACCCCCGTGATCCAAAAAGGAAGAAGTGGACAAATATGATGGATGGATGTTTTTAATGCCAAGTCTGAATAACCCTTTTGTTCATATTATATCTATACTACTTGTTTTTGTGTATTTTCTTTGTCCAACATTTGCTCATATGTTCGCTCTTCAAAGAGGATAAATGCTTTATTGAAGTATTACGAAGCTTTACAGTAATAATGGTATGAAATAAATGGGAAAAGACAATTAGCTTTACCACGAAGTTTTGCTCTGAATCATTTAGTATTTACACCAAACCGCAGCAGAGATGTGGAATAAAAAAAGAATTTGACTCGTAACGGTCGGTGCTTACTGTCGAAGACGATCATCCAGCCGTCTCCTCCGCAGGGCTGAGTGTGATCGCCAAAACAAACGTGGTTGCACTCTATGTTCGATGACTCGCTGCGCTCGCGCACGTCAACTTCGTTGCCACAGAAACAGGCGTATCCCGACTCCATCCCAGCAAGCTGCACAGCAAACAGAAATATGTTGTTTGAGTTCCTGCTGTGGAGTTTAAGACAAACGTCAGTTCATGCAACTTGATCTGACCAGGAGAAAACATTATGACACATTCTTAGCTGTATTTGTTTATTTCATAAACTATAACCTAACATTAAAAAGCCACAACCTTCTTGAAGGAATGCATATTACCTGCTGCCTTTCCAGAGTTTTCTCATCTTATGTCTAGAAATGGTTGAGTTATAACCCATTTACACTGAAGTCCATGCTCAATAAATCCAGGTATAAAATCCAACAATGTTCATTCAGGTCATCTAGACGGTTTCTTTGCTTGTGCTGAGACGTTTCGCCCTCCATCCGGAAGGCTTCATCAGTCTGAGGAAACACCAAACAAAACTGTTTCTCCACTAACAGCTTACTCCAAAGTGGGAAAAAACCCAGTTATGTTGGTGCTAAGATGGCCTCTTAGAAAATAAACCGTCAAGATGACCTGGTGACCTGGTGATGACCTTGGTTTTTATACCTGGAATATTGAGCATGGACTTTGGTGTTTTGAACCAGTTTGACATGACTGTCAACGAGGGAGAGGGCGGGCACAGGAAGAGATGGCGTATCCCAGAGATCATCTTAGCACCAACATAACTGTTTTTATTCCACTTTGGAGTAGGCTGTTGGGGGTGAAGTAGTTTTGTTTGGTGTTTCCTCAGACTGATGAAGACTTCTGGATGGAGAGCAAAACGTCTCGGCATCAAAAAAGAAACCGTCCAGATGACCTGACTGAACATTGTTGGCTATAACCCATTTCGTTAACCACTGAAAATAACGTCTTGCACAATCTCTAGTGATATGATGAGAGCTCAAGTAATCTGACAGAACAGGCTAATACTTGGAGATAGAAATGGGATTTATGGCTCTTTGAAGGGAGCCGGATCTTACGGATCCATCGGTTTAAAGAACTGTTCATTTTTCAACAGCTGGTTTTGTCACTTCAGTAGTCCCTCGATACTTTGCGGTTCGACTTTCGTAGACTCACTCTTTTGCGGGTTTTCAATGTAAGATTGAACACGACACACGATTGGCGATGGGGAAGGACGGACCCCAACCCTGCCCACTCCTTTCTCTTTTTGAGGCTGTAACAGCAAAACAGACACACAACAGCCCGCGTCTCTGCTCTGCTGTGACAGCCTCAGAAAGAGAAAGGAGGGGCGGGGCTGGGGTCTGTCTTTTTCCATCGTTACTGCTCAGGGAGCAGGGATGAACAGATCAGAAGAACAAATGTAGCATATCGAAGAAAATGCTTAGGTGGAAAAACAAGAGTGAATCAGTTTAAAAAAAGAGTTGTTGAGTGCGGCTCATTCAGATATACGACAACCCCCTGCCTGCTCCTTTCTCTTTCTTAGGCTGTCTGTCACAGCAGAGAAAAAGAAAGAAGGGGGCGGGGGTCTATCTTTTCCCATCGTGTCCCAGAGACAGACAACAGGCAGGCGTGCAACAGAGCCTCAGAAAAAGTGGAAATTTATATATAATACTAAAATAAATATAACATCCCTACTTTACAGGTTTTCACCTACGTAACGTAACTCCCATGATAAGTGAGGGACTACATGTAGTCAACATATATACAACAATTTCCTGCAGGATCAATAAAGTTCTATCTTATCTGATCTCATGTACAATCTACATCCCTCCATATGACCTTAAGTAGTGATGTACGCTGTTCACGACTTGTTGAGCACCCAACCCCCTCTCCCCCTCCTGAACGTGTTTACTGTGTACAACTGCGGCACTCTTTCCCTTTGGCTGTTCTTCTTCTCAGTGATAAAGCAAAGGAAGAGCGAATGTGTTTGCATGCGAGGAGGAAAAAGCCTCTCAGTTGTTTGTGACTCGCATCTCATCGTTCGTTTCAAAGAGTCGTTCAAAAGATTTGGATCGTTCATGAACGTCACATCTCTACTTAGAGTATGTGCTGGGAATTACTCTCAGCAACCACACCAGGTTTTAACTCAATTTATGTGCATTTCAACGAGGTATAGGCAATTTTCTATAGGCTTAACAGTTCCTTCGTAGGTGACTTGAGTTTAAATTGCCCTGATTTCTTTTTTGTCTTCGTGAAATGTTTTAAACGTTTGCACACGACGTGAAGAAAGTCAATCATACAGAAACACCTCGTATCATTCAAATGAAGGATGTTAGTTAAAAGACACCATGACCTCGCCAACACAAACGCTCGTTCTCAAAAGAATCATTGTCCTTCGCTCAGAAGAACACCGTTGTTCTTCAGGCTGCAAACGAACAAAAGGTTCTTCATCAGTTCCCACTCTAAATGTTTTATATATTTATTTTTTTGGTCATGAAATGGGAATTCTTGCTGCCTCTGCTGTCGTTACGTGTAAAACCCTGAATACTTTCGGAAGAGAAAACAAACGACGGGCTGCTGCCTCACTCGTCAGGAATGCTCTTTGTCAAAAAGTCACACGGGATCCAGACTTCCGAGCAGTGACGTTTCACACGTGCACTGAGGACGGTGACAGCAAGAGGGCTGGCAGCCATGGCAGTTTGCTGTGACATCTGTCCAACTAACCGACGACTTGTTTGTGTCTCTGAAATCAGAGCTGTGACAGAAAATCAACACCTGGCACGGTTTGTGGAGCGACGCAGGCACAGACAGAAAAACGCACTGCAGAGGAGGAGGTGCCCGCTCGAATCACAGCCATTTATTTCCAGCCATCAGCCTTGATTATGGGGATGATTTATCATCTGCTGGTTGCTTTGGAGCAGGACGTCTGATGGCTGAATAAAAAGGGCACCGAGGCACCCACTGTCACAGAACGGCTCATAAATGCAGATCATTTACATAAAAGCTCAGACGCGATCACTTTTGTCGAACTTAAATGTAATTTGGACAATTTACAATTTTTTTTAATCCGATACGTGTATGAAAATGAGTCAGGATGAAGGATAAACTAATATTTTGTTTTGCATTGTTCAAACTCCCTTTTCACATTCTGTCAAACTTGAACGCTCACCTTGTATCTCTTCCTACGACAGAAGCTGATGCAGCTCTGAATAGTGAGTTTATTGTTGATCTCGCTGGCGCCGGAAAGGGTGGGGGGGTGTCCGCTGTCCCTGAAGCAGCCCAAGTTTCCCGGCACTGCAGAAAACAAGAGGAGAGTCCGTTCAAGCCAAACAGTTGTCGTCTCATTTTGACCCAACAACATCTTCCGTGCACATGTTGGGTTACGGTTGATGTTTCCTCGTGTTTAGAAGAAATCCGCTCAAACACGTGCTTCTTGAATTTTTAGTTCTTGTAATTCAATAAACTCTACAGGTGCTACAATCAAGGTGGTTTGTGCTGAATGGGATTTGTTAATGAATGTGTCCCACAACAAAAGCTTGAACCTTTTCCATTACAAGTTAATCAACTCTTACAATTTTTTCACTTCACTCTATAAATATTACCCAAAGGACAATTGATCATGACACTCCAATGAAGCACTCGATCTAATGTTTACAACAAGATGGTGCAAACTGCCAAGAAGCAGGACTTCTGAGCAAATAGACGAGGATTAACACAAAAACAAGGCAAGAGTTCAGGGATGATTGAGTCGAAGCTCCAGAAGAGAGGAATCTAACAAAAATAGAATGTCGGATTAGATAATTATATCAGATCAGGAGCTATGACTGTGTGTGTGTGTTCAGGTATTTTATGAGTTAGATGTGCCAAAAAAATATATAGATAATAAAAAGCTTTCCCAAACAGTGTTTGACAAATGACTACTGGACGAGAGCCAACATTAAATCACACTAAATCCTTTTTATAAGATTAATCTTTATACAAACACTGACGTGATAAACTAATAATTAATATTTTAGGAAAGCTTTTAGTTTTACACTTTTGTTTTACAACCTTTTTAATAGTGCGGATGCTGACTCAGCATTTAGGCTTTTGTATTCCTGTTTGTTGATTAATCACTTTTTGTTATTTTGCAATCAAACTACTTCTGTGTGCATTTCTAAACTTTTTCAACCATTCAAAGAGATGCTGTGGCTTCTTTTATTTTCATTTATTACTTTTTCAAAATATTTACCTTTATTTACAAATATTTTCCATATGGAAATACAAGAATTAAATTCAATTCAATTTAGTTTTTCAGTTCAATTCAGTTTATTTATATAGCACCAAGTAACAATAGAAGATATCTAAGGACACTGAACAGAAACATTCATATCTCCATCCATCCATCCATCCATCCATCTATCCATCCATCCATCCATCTATCCATCCATCTATCCATCCATCCATCCATCCATCCATCCATCCATCTATCCATC